ACATACAACTGTGCAATTATACATACAAGTTTTAAATAATTCAAAACTAAATTCCTACGAAAGTTTAGTATTATTTATATTCTATTATAGTATTTATTAATATTTTGAATTATCTTTTATTTTAGTATTCATTTGCAGACTGAATAATCAACCAATATCTGATTATTTTTAAACATTTTCCATTTTCAAATATTTTTGTGAAGCTGTCATTTTTAAATATTTAAATTAAACATTCTATATTTTTATAACTAATTTCATAAATATAATGGTATTAATATAATTACTATAAATGCAGTTTGTATGTGTATATGATTAAATATTACTGTATTTCTATATTTATAATAAAATACATTTATATTAACATTAAATATTGGCTAATATTTTGTGCAATATTTTATATAACTATAGTGAAAATATTAAATGTAATTTTGTGATGTGCTTTATTATATTTTACATTTAGAGTAAATTTTTTATTTCAGTTTTAGGAATTTTAGTACTTTAACTTAAATTTATTTCAGTTAGATGCCAATGAAACACAATTTTTCATCTGATTTTATATTTGTTTTTATATCAGATTTATTTTACTGAACGAAAATGATTTTTAATAGTTTAGTTGACAATAGTTTTAATGGTTGCTGTATATGTACCTGAGCTACAGCTCCTGCAAGAACCAGAGTCCAGTCCAACATCCATGTGCATCCGGGAGCGTGAAGCCCATAAACACACGCCGTCAGGAGCGGCAAAACATAAAAGAGGAACACCAGCATCTACAAGACACGAGATCCATCAGTCCATCATGTTTCCGTATCAGTGATAGCTCTGTATATCGCTGGCTGCCAATCTTCATTCTTTCAGTACTTCAGTATATAATACTAATGCATCTCAAAGCATAAAAGTAGCATGTTAAATGTACCCAAGTGTGCACCAGACTCACCGTGACTTTTGGAAAGCCGACACTGTCTTTCATGTACGGCTCGTACTGGAAGATGTAGGTAAAACAAAAATCCAGAGAACATTCAAGAACAACCTGTTGAAAATTAAGAGTGATGGAATGAATGGCTGGATAAACGGACACGTGGATGGATGTGTAGATACTTACAAAGCCTCTGAACGCAGTGAAGATGATGCTTCCCATGAGGCCCAGCGTGAGCAGCAGGTCTGTGGGACGAGACAGCAGCGTTTTCTTCTGCTCCACCTCCACCTACAGACCACATCAAACCCATCTGTCAACTCAACTAGTACTTCCACATTAGCAGCGTTGGCGAGGAACTAGTTACATGTAACAGAATCACGTAATTGAATTACAAAATAAATGTAACTGTAATCTGTTACAGTTACTGAG